AGAGGGGAGGGGAAGGGGAAGGGGTCGGATAATTAGCGCGGTGGTAGGCAGCGCGATCGCGCATGTTGACGCTGTCTCGAGTCTTTTTTATGACTGGAACCTGACCCCGTGATCCCTGAACACCTCCCCCTTACTTGCTATTGATTGGTTGCTTAAACTTGTCTTCACTCTACCCTCTCTTTATGTTAATTTAATTGCCTGATGATGAATAATCGAAAACATACGTTCGCCTCACTCGACTTCCTGAATGCTTACGCGAGTATCATCACTGAATATTCGCATGGCCTAAAATTCTTCTGTGACTGTGATCTCATTAAATATTAAGCGAAATTTTGAACTGCGTTTGTGACTAGAAAAGATTACTACGGCAGCGAGATCCCCTGATAGGTCTGTAATGGCAGAATGCTAGTTTTGAATTTTATGTCTTTTTGGTTGACTGAAGAAACAGGCAAATAATATATCTTTTTCCGTGTTCATTCGAAAAATAATCATTTCTTCGACTTCTGTGCTTACATAAAACACACATTTTGGTTTTAAAATCGCTTATAATGAGATTTGAGATTTTTAAAGAGCATTCAATTACTATGACTGGTAGCCTCAGGCCAATAAGCCAGAAACGAACATTTCTGTCTTTTTCGTATTTGCTGGCAAAACTATCTACCTTCTCAATAGTCTCAATAGTCTACCTTAGACTACTAGCCGCTACCGCTGCTATCAGGGTTCAATAAACGATGCCCAAGGCAGAGCGACGGCTGAAAGTTAATGAACAAGAACATGCAATGCATATTCAAAGGGCATCGTTTCGTATACGCATTAATGTTGCCCATGCCGTGCAGCCTATTCCATGCCCATTGCACAATCTTCTGAGCATTAAAAGATACATTCATAATAAACTAGGGAAATGTATGCTTTTTTTCCTAAAACGCACAATTTGAGGAGGAAAAAAAGATTGGGGTCAAACATATTACGAATAAGGAACCGTTTTCAAAATAGAAATATCTCCTTCCAATGAGTGTAAATTTTGGATGAAACCTGACACCCTATCGAACGAGCCCAAGAAAGGATATTTTCTTCACAAGCTTTATAAAAAATGTCTTTGAATTTATACGGGAACCAAAAACCAATAGAAGAAACTGCAACTAATGAAGTAGTCCGTATTCACTTGGTGCGGCTTCTGTAGTCCAGCAACAAGAAACACATTGGCGTTTCTGGAGTACCCTAAGATTACACCACACGTTGATCAATATTACAACTCTACTCACGTAATTTGCCCTGATAGAAACCGTGTTTCAGAGTTTTGGTTAGCATTTCCAAAGATCGATCAAAAACTGTAAGCCTGGATCTGCCGAATTGATTGGATTCAGTTGGTTCTTCTCGTCCTCAGGTGTGAAGCCGGCACCGTACCATCTGTGTCCTCTTCGGAGCTGGTCTGCAAGACCCACAACAACAAGACCATGTGGTTGCCCTTCCCCTATCCAGCCTGTTATCGCTACTGCAGTTTACCGGTAGTAGCCCAGAGCAACATCTCCGTTGTAGCCCGGCGCGGCGTGGAAGGGGAAGTGGAGAATCAGCTTCAGAACAGTGACGTCCTGTCTGCAAGCACCAGCCCCTCAGCAGACGGTCTGACCAACGCGCAGACGGAGCACGGAACAGTCATCCGCATCGCCTGCAAGCCGGGCTTCAATTTGGTGCTGGAGCAGCAGAAAAAGCTGGTAGCCTCGGAGACGGAGGGACGGGCGGTGTGCAACGACGGCAGCTGGAATGTTAGCTACAAGTGCATTCCGGGTTTGTGGGTCCTTTGAATCCTTTGCTTCAATTGGTGGACGTATTCTCGAGGTATCGTTGTTTTGAGTGATGGAAACTATAATTTGCGGAACCGTATCAGTGAATAGTAAATTAACCGACACTCGTTAATGAACGCTTATCGTAGGCGGTTAAGTGAGTTAAACCCTGGGAACTGCGATCTTCCAGGCCCAGGTTCCTTAGAAGATGAGAGAGAAGTCTAGGGAAGGCCAGAGTTTTAGGAATAGTGTATTCTGCACAGAAGGATAGGAGAATAGATGGAAAGAGTTTCGACTGTCGGATGACTGCAGTCCGGCTGCGAGGGCGTCAATTCCGGAGTAAAGAGAGCGTCGGGAATCACCGGAATGCCGGCGCATGCTTTGTTACAGCAGCTCATCACGTGGCTAATGTCTAGACTAGCGGTCGTGGCGCGACCTTAAGATGCACAAAGGCCGGCTGGTCTTGCGTTCCAAGTGGCTGATAAGGGCCACTACACGCTCAACGTTCGCTAACGGAACTCACTCGGCCTGCCCTGCCTTGGGTCTCATTCTCTGACCCTGACAGCAACCGCACAGCGGACAGTAGTCTTGGCAGATAGTATTGTCGGCAAAGACAAAGGATAAAGACAAATAGACAACGATTTCGTGACTCAGTGGTTAGCAAGAACGTTAGATTTCTTCGAGAAAAGGTCACGAGTGTGAGCCTCGGGGAGTGCACGACTTTTGGTTGGGTATGATTGGCTGGCGGCCGCTAATATGCCGGAAAGGGCTATTCCAGTCACCCTTGTCTTTGCCGATAGTGCAATCTGTTAACCCTCTATTTCACCGTTATATATCTGCTGCTTGGGAATAATAAATCCTCGTGCTATCTGGAAGGCGTAATTTGTTCTGATATATCAAAAGGACCGTTTGGTAGTCTTTGCTGATACTTAACATTTTCAATACATGCACCGTTCCAAATTGCAGGACACCTGTTAAATCCGGTTTAATAGAGACACCGTCGTACGAAAGCAAAGGCCACAAAGTTG